TTGAGCCAGGGCTGACAAGTTTGCATGTGTATTTGTGTTTTAAGCTAAGTGTTATTTAAAAAGAGTCAAAAGTTTATCTAGTAAGGAAATTATAATAAGCTATGGTTAATTTATTATTTAAAGAAAGAAAATTTTAAAAATAAATTTAGTGTGGCCAAACTGCAGAGTATAAAGTTTAGAGTAGTGCACAGTAATGTCCAGGCCTTCACAATTCATTCACTGACTGACCCAGAACAACTTCCAGTCCTGCAAGCCCCATTTACAGTGAGTGTCTTATACAAGTGCACCGCATTTTCTTTTATACTGTATAAGTACACTTGATATTTGCAAAATGGCAAAATCACCTAATCGAAATGTATATTCGAAACAGAATGTATCTCTGTCCTTAAGCAATACATGATTGTATTATGTATATTTTTACTCTGTAATTAATCATTTTCTCCTGTATTTTTAAAATTTGTATTTCACAATGATACAAAATATAAATAAAATATGGATTTTGTTGTTGTTGTTGAGACTGAGTCTCACTCTGTTGCCCCAGGCTCCCAGGCTAGAGGACCATGGCATCACCCTAGCTCACAACAATCTCAAACTCCTGGGCTCCAGTGATCCTCCTACCTCACCTTCTCCAGAAGCTGGGACTACAGACATCCACAATGACACCTGGCAATTTTTCTATTTTAAGTAGAGTCAGGGTCTTGCTCTTGCTCAGGCTGGTCTCAGACTCCTAAGTTCAAGCAATCCACCTGCCTTGGCATCCCAGAATGCCAAGATTATAGGTATGAGCCACTGCCCTTGGGGATTCTTTCATCTTAGAAGTAAATAAATTGAAGCTGAGAGAGGTTAAGTGGCTTTAGTCATGTTAAATAGTTATTTCCTCTATGTATAATTTTGTTTTACTTTTCCTGAAAAGATTATCTTATATATTCTAAATATTACCACTGTGCTGAGTTTTAATATCTCTTGTGCCAGTAGAGCAGAAATAGAATTTTTCAGTTTGTTTTATCTTATAAAAAATATTGCTTATGTGAAAACCATTCTTCTTTGCCTAGATCTCTTCTGAATGTGTATATTTTGCTGTTTGCTATGTGCCAAGCCAAATTTTTGAGACTTGCATCTACAGAATAAGGATTTTATGCTATAGATTTACATCATCATATCGTCTTTCTGAAGTCTTCTCAACCATATAATTATCCCAAATTTCAGAGCTAGTAGAGATGCTGCAGGCTGTCTTCATCATCTCCCTCCCTCTACTTAGACTTTCTCTTTGATCTTTTCAGAGTGCCCATTTCTAGTAAACACAGTCTTCAACATGCCTGAGACCCTGCTTTATTTTAGGGAGTGTATCTAACAACAGGATTTTTAGGTTTATAAGAAATGTTTGAGATTGGAAGCCCTTTAAATCATACCACCTAGGACCTCAGATTTCACGATGAGGGGTTTTAATTAAGATTAAATAGGTCTAGTAACTATGATCTAGAGTAGTTTAATTTAACTTCTCTGTGATTAAATTTCCTATATATAAATTTGGAATAATAATAATACCACCACTCTCATGGAGTTATCAGAAGACTTAGCCTATTCTATACTAATCTCTCCTATTATCTATAATATATTTTAAAATGAACAAACGTAGGCAGGTTTAGAAAGTTAGTAATATAGGAAGATAAAATTTAGGTTTACTTTTTTTAATGAATGGACCCTAGTTTATATACTTAAGGCAACTCCAGATTTAGGCACAGGTTCATCTTTGTGGAGGGAGCCTGAACTGATAAGCACAGTAGCACTTGCTGATGGGAAAGGCTCTTTATCTCCCTGGTAGCCATTCATCCTGTATGCCCAGTTATTTGTTTGTGGTTCTAGAAATGTAGATTCCCTCCATATGAGGCTAACAGTTAGGCATAGGCTCCCACATACCACATGGCGTTCATGAACATGAGCACTTGTGCAATATCTTGTGATTTATTTTTTTAGATTCATTTTTTAAAACTTTTTTTTCTTTTGAAATCCTAAAAGAGCAACAATGACTATTTCTTTTCTTTTTAAGAGTGAGGGGCTTGGAACTCATAGGTCAGTGGTTAGGGTGCCAGCCACGTACACCAGGGCTGACAAGTTTGAACCTAGCCTGGGCCTGCTAAACAACAATGACAACTGCAACCAAAAAATAGCTGGACATTATGGCAGGCAACTGAGGTCCCAGCTACTTGGAAGACTGAGACAAGAGAATCGCTTCAGCCAAGAGTTGGAGGTTGCTGTGAGCTGTGACGGCACAGCACTCTACTGAGGGTGACATAGACTCTGTCTCAAAAAAAAAAAAAGAAAGAAAGAAAGTGT